TTGTAACCTTAATAAAAAACACCCCGTATGAGATATTGTTTTGAAAATTGATATAGGAGTATTTGTGACTAGTCCGAATCGATTGCCATTATCGAAATTTTTGTAAAAAAATGCCTAATCTGTTTTCTTCAATTTTGCTCTAGTTTTTGTGATCGCAGTAGGCCAAGAAATTGTGTTAGATAATTTTTTTTTCTCGACAGAAGTAGATAATTTTGGGGAGTATAATATGAGAAAAAAAAAAATCCGAATCGCCCAAGGAATAAGGAAATACAGGGGTGGGGTGGAGCAAATTGTAACACACTGTATGTATGTATGTATGTATGTATGTATGTATGTATGTATGTATGTATGTATGTATGTATGTATGTATGTATGTATGTATGTATGTATGTATGTATGTATGTATGTATGTATGTATGTATGTATGTATGTATGTATGTATGTATGTATGTATGTATGTATGTATGTATGTATGTATGTATGTATGTATGTATGTATGTATGTATGTATGTATGTATGTATGTATGTATGTATGTATGTATGTATGTATGTATGTATGTATGTATGTATGTATGTATGTATGTATGTATGTATGTATGTATGTATGTATGTATGTATGTATGTATGTATGTATGTATGTATGTATGTATGTATGTATGTATGTATGTATGTATGTATGTATGTATGTATGTATGTATGTATGTATGTATGTATGTATGTATGTATGTATGTATGTATGTATGTATGTATGTATGTATGTATGTATGTATGTAATGTATGTATGTATGTATGTATGTATGTATGTATGTATGTATGTATGTATGTATGTATGTATGTATGTATGTATGTATGTATGTATGTATGTATGTATGTATGTATGTATGTATGTATGTATGTATGTATGTATGTATGTATGTATGTATGTATGTATGTATGTATGTATGTATGTATGTATGTATGTATGTATGTATGTATGTATGTATGTATGTATGTATGTATGTATGTATGTATGTATGTATGTATGTATGTATGTATGTATGTATGTATGTATGTATGTATGTATGTATGTATGTATGTATGTATGTATGTATGTATGTATACATCAACTTGTCTTGATTTCCCCTATTTACCAATTGGCTATGTGAGTCTCCACATGAATCACCCTGAATAAGTAATCTAGCGGATTATTAATTTTGTCAATAATAATCAGTGGCATCCTACTTATTTTTGTCGAGGCCAACTATAATGTGAGAAAATATTTTGATAAAATCTATTCCTTTCTGTTTTATACGCAAAAAACAGATTTTGATCATTTATATGTCTCCTGCGTAACTTCTTTATTCATGAAAATATTCAAATAAGAATTTCACATTCTCATGGCAGTTTTTCAAAGTGATTTCGAAAAAAATATGAAATTAATACCAACTCTTCCAGAATTTGAGATATCAGAACCAACTTCAGTTTTTCAAATGTAGGTCATAGCTCACTATGACTTAGTTACAAATAACTTTTTTGTTCTCTCACAGATGATATGTCGCAGTAATAGTTTTGTGTTGATAACAACGGAGTTATCGTCATGTACCAGAAACCTCAATGATTTCCAACATTTGTGTTGACAATGTTGCCGCTTCTCAGAATTTGTCTGAAATATTCATAAAAAATTGTGAGCAATCAAAATTATTGTTTTTGGGTGTATGATAAATTGACATTCATCATACAGGGCGTGGAAAGAAATTCTGAATTGAGACTCTATCACGAATCTGCGATTAGAAGTCTATAAAAATCACAAGTTTCCATCGTTCAAGTTTGAACCCCCTGATTGGGTGTGAAAGTGTTGAAAAGGAATATTCTCAGATAAATTATGAACATACAAAAATGGATATATATTTATATAAAGCAATACATTGAGAATTCGCATTCAGAAGTTTTTATATTTTATTTTCAAACTCTTATCGTGTGTGTTCAATAGATATAATTCAATGTTCGTCGTGGCATATAGCCAGGAAAGTAGTTGTTTTCTTATTGAATCAACTGAGAAAGAGTAAATATTCTCATCACATAGAGAATGCGAATTCTCAATGTATTGCTTTATATAAATATATATCCATTTTTGTATGTTCATAATTTATCTGAGAATATTCCTTTTCAACAAAATTATTGTTGTTATAACTTTGCTGCCAATTGAAATTTTTTAATGAAATTTTGTGCTCAACCTGATTGAAGGATGCTGAATTCAGTGGTGGGGTCGATTTTTCTTGGAAAAAAATCGCTAATGATATTTCGCAATTTTCAACATGAAAAAATTAACATAGTATGCCTTGTAGATTGAAATTTTATTTTGCGAATTTGTGTAAACGTAGATCTCCGGATAGTCCTTCTGCTGAAACAAAAAAAAAAGAAATCGGTAAAAAACAGATTTTATAAGGGTGCTCCGATATATATATACAGTGTGACCCACTTCTAATGGAAACACCCCTGTATCTTACGTAATCGTTGGGTATAAGGATCCTGAAATTTGCTGGAGCGAGAGATATGCCAAAAATGCACTCTATGACCAAGTGAGGTCATCTTCAGTGATATACACTGCTCGCCAACAGCCATGGAACCACCCCAATTTCCGGAAAATGATATTAGGAGTCGAAATAGGTCGAAAATCACTTCAGATTCGGAATGAGGACCCCCAATACACTAACTACCTACTCATATTTTTCCTGGAAAATTTTCAGTTCTGAAAAATTAAATTTTGTCGCACTTTTTACGGAAGCACCCCCGTATCTTTACGTAATTGACTTTATCTTTGGACTTTCCCTTCCTCAAATTTCCGAACCCTAGAGTCACTGGATGGTATTAGTTTGATAAGAGTTCGGACACAGCTGAACTTTTGTCCTTTTCTATTTTCTATAATACAATGGTTTAGGTGAATAAAAGAATAAGACATATATTCGGCTCTTTGTCTTTTCAATTTCCCTAGTAGTTCCTGATTGTCAGATACGATTTTAGAGGTTATATTTTCTGTCAAATCAATCATAGCCGTAGATGGACAATGGGTATAGGGTACAAACACCCAATTCAATTTATAGTGATACACTTCTTACAGAACAACTGTTATATAAATGAAAAGAATGCATGTAACAACATTTTAATATTAGAAAATATGGATGAACTTTTATAGCTATAATTCCTTATTATATGTGAAACTGTACTCCAGTGATGAGTATAAAACATGATAGATAGATATTCTCAATATACAGGAAGTAACATAAGTACTTTCAAGTGAAGTATTCCTGAGACAATTATAAGAAATAAAGTCTATTATAAGCTTTTGTGTCCGGAAATGCATCATTTCGTAGATACAGAGTGCTGAAATGCAAAGAACAAATCATTTTTCGATAAACATTTGATAGGAAAAAAGTAGTTTATTTTGACGAGACCTACCAAATACTTGGTTTTGTAAAGTTCTCAGCAACTCCACCTAGCGCCCTAGGAGCTAATAAGTAACATGGATCGATATAGAAAATATCTCCAAAACATTATCCTCCAGCGTAATTAAGGCCCTTATAATAATTCCCTTGATAGGTACATAAATAACTATTCACTGTCCACTGTTGAATTTAAAATTTGGTCGGCACCAAAAACGCCATTCAATAATATATCACTCTGTAGTTTACTTGCTTTTCTTAGTTTCGTTTTCAAATTCTCAATTTCATTATGTAATTTTGCGATCATTTCCTCTTTTCCATGATCATTTCGTTTTGTATTTTGTGTGATGATAATAATGGAAATTTGTTCTCGAAATCGCCTGCTTTGTAAATTGACGGAACAGCAGATTCTCACAAACAGAATTTGAAATCTTCTGTTTGAAGATGGGCCTAAAATATAGTTTCATTCTAATCAGATGCTGTTATAAAAAGTGAATTTTAATGAGTACCTCACAAATTTCGCTCGTCTTCAAATTGATTTTGCACCCATCAGGCCATTTCATATCTACCTTCCATAAGCGAATGGTTGATATTTGTTTCGGAAAATTGAATAAATCTTATCCATTTTCTTCAGAATTGGCACAATTTATTACACAGCAAGTAATTTCCATAGCTGCTTTCATCTCGAATGCATAATTATGAAATTTTATCTCAATTCTGACGTTTATAAAATGTATTGTCAATTTCAAACAATTTTGAATGAAAAAGCGCAGGACGACTATGGTGCTCTTGTCACAATGCAAGGTGTGAAACTTAATAAATCTAAACACTCAAAAACCCTAACCGTTGTCATTTCTGTGTCCGAACTCTTATCAAACTAATAACATCCAGTGACTCTACCGAACCCTACCTCAATAATTACGTGAGATACGGGGGTGCTTCCATGAAAAGTGAGACAAAATTAAATTTTTCTGAACTGAAAATTGTCTAGGAGAACTATGAATAGTTAGTGAATTGGGCGTATTGATTCCGAATCCGAAGTGATTTTCAACCTATTTCGACTCCTGATATCATTTTACTGTTATTGGGGTGGTTCCATGGCTGTTGGCGAGCAGTGTATATCACTGAAGATGACCACTTGGTCATAGAGTGCATTTTTGCTATTTCTCTCGCTCGAGCAAATTTCGGGATCCTTACCCAACGATTAAGTAAGATACAGGGGTGTTTCCGTTAGAAGTGGGTCACACTGTATATATAAACGTTTTCCTTAGACCAATATTAACTGAGAAAATATAAACAATCACCCTGTACATGTTGGTCATTTGTCTTAGGTGATATTATCTCTGAACTTCTCAATCGATTTTCGAATGAGGTAGGCCTTTCTGAGTCTGAAGAATGTTCACCGAATGTCGCAATTCGTACACTAAATTGACATGAAAAACTATCAATGAATGAACTCTGCCGTTTGCCAGTGTTTTTTCCAATTCAATTTCATGTACCCAGTCAACAAGGCTGGCAATAAAATCTTTATTATTACTAGTATTATTATTATAATTATCCTTATTATTATATTATTCGCAGCTACAATGGAGATGTTACCTATGCGTGAGTTTATGGGACCTTTGCTTGAAGCTTTGAAGAACAAAGATAGAGTAGCAGCTGAGGAATGGTCCAGGTCTGAACATTGGGCCACTGTTGAACAGCTCATTGCTGCTAGTTCCCCGCCTCCCTCAAGGTGAGATTAGCTATATTGGGAAAATTATAGAATCTGGCTTTCAATCGATGTCCTGGAAAGAATGTAAGCCCCCCAGGTAGCACATGGCGACTATATACGACGTCTAAAAGTAGGCATCATATTCGGCCAAAAAACGTCTTTATTACTATCCAAACTGACGTCTAAATGACGTAAGTAAGTCACAGCTAAATGACGTCACTTTTAAGGTCTTTTGGACGTCAATGCGGTGTTCGATTATGACTTGATACTGACGTTGTGGACTAGTTTAAGACGTCATAGCGACGTCTATTTTTCGAAAAGTAGACGTTAAAGCGACGTCTATTTTTTGAAAAATGGACGTCATAGCGACGTATGTGTTTTGTTTTGTAATTAGAAACACCTAGAATTTTCAAATGATTTATTCAAAACACTTCATAAATGTACAAATTAAAATTATGAAATGAAACAGTTTGCCTGGTTATCAATTCATGACAAATATAAATTTGTGCTATCAGAGAAAAATGATAGATACAAGATTTCAGACGCTGCACGCTGTATGAAGCAAAGGGAGGGATATATAACTATTCTTATTTATAGGAAAAACCATACATTTCGTCATTGACTGAGAAATTTCACAAGATTGTAATCCTGACAAATTAGTATTACTAACAACATAAATATTCAAATCTCTAGAATCTATTGGGTAAGTATACAATGATTCATAATGGGGCAAAAAATGTTTACCAATCATGAATAGTTTTTCATCTAGAGTGCTACATATATTATGTATTTCTACAACTATACCTTCTTCTGTCATGTAGTAAGCATCTGCACATGAATAAGATTTGCTTGTGAAAGTTACATTCCTGTAGACAATTTTTTTGAATTGCTTTGCATGAATCATTTCTATCATGGGACCACTATCATGTTCCCCATATAATTTTGTATCAAAATGTGGTTTCACATAGATGAAATTTCTTTCACTCAATCTTCGATAAATTTGTTGTAAAGGTTTCAATGGAGATCTAACAAAACTCTTGATAAGACCTAGAAAGTTTTCAAATGGAAAAGCTGAAAATGAATCCAAAGTACCATACAGAGCAGCCTCTTTAGCCAAATGGCATAATATATGTGTATTATATACATAAAATTCTAAGCCATATATAAATTCACAATGTCTCACAAAAGAATTCAATAAAATGTTAGCATTCTCAGTACCAAAATTTGATAAATGCTTTGATGAAGTTAAAAGTGAAATGCCAACATGCAATAATAAAAAATGTTCAAATACTGATGTCTCCACATTACCCTTAAGAACGAATGGACCAAAATACAATAAAAAGTTACGAAACTCTGTAGCTTTCCAATAAGATAATTCTGATAAACTCCTGGGCTTCCTCAATCTAATATGTAGCCCACCTGACATCCATGTTACCAAAAGTTTTTTTGTGACACCTAAACAAACAGCATGCATGTAATCGATAGTGAATGATGAGACAAGGCCTATGTTTAATTCAAGTAATGGTGACTTTTCTCTGTGATGTTCATCGTCCAACTCCAAGATGAACTGTTCATCAGTTCGAAGGGTACTTGTTGTTCCCTTCAGAATGACTTTTCCCTGTCTATGGTAGTAATCACCTGATTCCCAACACTTGTCACAGGAAGAATAGCCACCATGTGACTTTATGCCCTTCAAATAAGCTTTAGCAGGCGAGTCGCAAATAAAGTTTAATATTTCAACAAAATATATTCTGGTATGCAATACAAAACCAGTTAGTTTCAAATGATTAACTTCTTTGATGAAATCTTCTAGAAAAACATTGAGTGGACATGGCTTTGATTTGCCACAAAATATACCTATAGCAAATGGGAAACTCTCAAAGTTCCTTACCATACCTAAAATTGGCCAGAACTGTAAATTTGTACTAGAAAACAATGGTAATCCATCAATATTAATGCTGAGTTTCAATTTGTTATCTGAACAAGAAGAGGGTATAATTTTTTTTAAAACATTTTCAATTCCAAAGTGACAATATTCGCCGTTATCTAATTTTTTTAAATCTATATCCCTAGGAGTTTTTAGTAATGTTCTACTATCCAATGGAAGTTGAGGATGGAAAGGAGCAAGAATTTTTAAGAGACTTGTAACAGAACTGTGGGTAACTTTTGTATTGATAGCCCACTGCCTTAGTGACTGTGGTTCCAAATCTGTAGTACTATTTGAGCAACTGTTACATTCTGGTATAACCGATAAACATTGGGAAAAATTGATTGGCGGAGGAGGATCCTCCTCATTAGATGTTCCAGGTTGGTTAAATATATCTGATTCTAATATGATTTCTGATTGTACAAATTCTGAACTACTATCTGTCGCAGGATATAAATAATGATGGTGACTATCTACATACTGCTGATCATGTTTTGTTATTTCAGTGGCATTTTCACTTTCAACATCAATGTTCATTAAACTATTCAATATCTTCTCATTTTCTCTAGCAACTCGTCTATAAAATTGTCTCTTCCCCACATTCGCCTCTACATGTTTTCTTTTATACATGATCAAAAATTCAATTCAAAGCTATTCATGGAAGGTAAAACTTTCTAAAGTGAATAAAATGAACTATAGATACAAGTACCTACCAAGTACCTATATGAATATTTGGGACCCAAAAATTGAATTTCTAGTTTTGAAACAATGGCTACACAAAATACTACCTATTCCTAATACAAAAGTCCTTTATAGACATTAAGGTTCTGGAATTGAACTCAACAAAATGAATACTATCAGCATATTTTAGCGCTTAACAGGTACTTCAGTGCCTAAAATGAATAAATTCCTCTGAATCAGTTTTTTCTTGATTTCAGCCTGTCTGGTGCATGTTTGAACCACAATTTGATGATGTCTTCAACATCACTAATGGTGACATTATCAGACTGAACTGCTCCTTGAAAAGTGCAATATATTAGTGACAGATCTAAATTTTTCATCAAGATGAAAGATTTTGTTAATGACACCTCATTCAAATCAATACAACAGCACTGCAGAGAAGTATGCTGCACTGTCAATAGTTAAGTATATTATGAGTAGCCTGAATAGCAAAATTTTGTTACTTACTTATCAAAGCTTTATTGATTTTCAACTCATAGAAGGGTTCTTTGGAACGTTTTCCATAATAACTGAAGAATGCAGCTAGTTCATCTGTCAGCAACGCCCTCAGTATCTTATGAATCTTCAACTTGATATTTTTCCCTCCCAGAGAGTGTAAATGAGTAACCTGAAAATGAGACAGTTCTCAATTATAACATTTAGGTACTTTAAAACTTCTAAGATGAACTAATTCAGCAATTGAAACTGTTACAAATATCTATGGATGATATATTGCCACTGAATATCCTCTATTGAAAGAACTTTTCTAACTGTACAGGGTGATATTTTATATTTTACTTAATAGCTATCTCAGGTAATATCAGTCTCACAGGTACATTCAAATAGGCAATAAGGAGGAATTTTTAATGGGCATTCAGAATTTAGTAGTAGGGAATGCAAAAAATGCATCACTAACCTAGAAATTTTACATAAACTGATAAATTTTTTTAAAGAAACACCCCCTATTTTATTTTCCTAAACGGTAGAGCTCTTTTTTCTGATTTCAATTATATATACTTTATTGAGGTTGTTTTCCGTCAGTTTTCGAAAAATATAGATTCTGAATCAGCTGTAGAACTTTTTGTGTTCTACAGCTGCCTTAGATTTATACCAAAAATCTATTTTTTTCACAAACTGAAAAGGATAACCTCAAAGTAAATATATTTTAAATCAGAAGAAAGAGTTCTACCGTTTGGGAAAATAAAATACAATAAAATGCAAAAAATAAAAGTTTATAAAACATTTGTAGGTTTATGATTCATTTTTGTACTTCCTAGTACTGAATCCTACATGCTCATATAAAATGCTCCATATTCGTCCAATTAAACGTTTTTGTAAATCCAACATTAACTATTGAGTAAAATATATAAACAACACCCTGTACAGCAATCGATTGCACAAATTGATATAAAATCTGAGTATTTTCACATGTATTTTCACCTAAGCTGTAAAGAAGCAAAACTTCAACAATTCCTATTGCTGACAAAATTTCAGAAATTTTATGATGAATGAATTATTTACCAAAAGGTTGAAGTTCTCTGTCTTGCTGATGAATTCTTCAAAAATCTTCAAATCATCTGATTTGGTTAAAGGTATCTGTACTGGAAATAAATCTCTTACACTAATTGTGTCTGTCGGAGCTCCTCTACCAGATAGAGAATTCTGAACCTCATCCAATTTACCCAAGATCAAATTGTTCTGCTCTTTTATCTGACCTAGCAATGAAATGAATGTCTTGGTAGCTGAAACAATATCATCATAGTCAATCTTTTTGCCTACAAGAATAAGAAATTCTCCTGTTCAAAACTTATTTGATTTCAGGTGGTGGAATAGAATAGAATATAGGTTTATTATGATTGACAAGAATTCTTGTGTACAATTCATCAAGATTAGAGCTAAAATACATACAATATACTAATAGTGATAATAATGTGAGTGGTGATACCTTGTCCTATTTTATGAAGAGAAAATATGTTCTAGCAACATGTGTTCCATCTTGCCTAGCTCTCCAGTAACAGGGTGTCAAAGTTTGAATACAATATCTGTTCTTTATCGAATTCTCTACTGTAATTGTGATAAATCATGTTGTATTTGTTGGAATCAGCTTCTTTTAATGTGTTCAGATTTGAAATATCAACTCCAGTTGTATCATATAAATTCATAGGTTGCCTGATTGATATTTATGGTAGAAACCATTGTAGGCACTATTATTTTCTTTTCTATAATAGAATAAGTTTAAATAATTGAAAATTCAACTGTCTTGTACCATAAAAAAATCTTTGTATCTCTCTTAGTTCTTGAGAAAAAATGAAAACATTTCTTGCATGCCCCTCAGTCATGACTAAAAACCTAAAAGTACTTGAATTTTCCAAGTTCTGATAGATAGATAGTTGTGATTGATAGTAGGTACCCAAATTAACAGGATAATATAATTCTGGATGAAAAAGTTGATTTTTTTTATATATCTCAGAAACTACCTACCATTTACTACACTTCATATTTTATTCACATATGCTATGTTTTGTTCTACAATTCAATTCATGCAAAGCAATTCTTCTTATACCAAAATATGTATTCAAAATTTTTTGTGATTTCTGAGATATTTAAAAAAAAAACATCTTCATCCAGTTTTTCTCATCCTGTAAATTTGAAAAGCACAAATTCTAGAAAATTAATTTTGTATCAGCTTTGATGCTATTGAAATTTCACAAGAATTGTTTTTTTATCAAAAAGTAAGTGATGACAAAAGAAAGTTGTATTATTCATTGTGCCATCTGACCTAGAAACAGAAACAGTGGTGTACAATGATTCTAAACATAATTTTCAATCAGGCAACCTACGAGATACCTCTGGAATTATTATTTCAAATCTGGACACATTAAAAGATGCCAATAAATGCCAACAAAAACTCCGCAAGTTATCACAATTACTTTTTTTCATAAAATTTGGCAAGGTGACACCTCCTGGAATTAAAGACATATCTGTATAAGCTAACTTCTCATACCTGAATCTGAGAATGCGCTGCTCACTTGAGATGGGCAATCTGATGAATCTCTGGATTGTTTGTTCAAAGTTGACTGCTGTATTGTCTTTGTAATAAGAGTCCCCTTTTGATTACTCGAGTGCTGAACTGCTGGGTGCAGTGTTTGTTCGGGAGTATGCTTGCTTCCAGAATTTTGCAGTTGTCTTGTTTCAATGAAACCTAAATAAGAGTGGTCGTGTTGATTGTGGTATTTTATTTCTGGACACTAGTTACAGCTACATACCTGAAAGCTTTTTAATTTTGATTTGAGGTGGTCTAGGATACTGACTCTCTCCCTCACTCTCACTGCTGTCTATAATTTTTCTTACATATTTCCTGGATTGCCTGGTTGGTGCCTCTTTTTCTAATAAGTCTACATCAGTATCTGCCAAGTCACTTGTAATCTCAGCCTCTTTTTCTTTTTTGAAGGCTTTTTCTAGTTCATCTAAAACAAAACTGTGAGATAGTCTGTTTGCTATAAATTCAGAAAAGGTATCTCAATTTTTTTTCGAGAGTATTACTATTTTGTACAAGAGTAGTTAATACATGAGGTGTTTTTATGTTAAAATACAATGTCTACCTGAAATAATCGAATAATTATTTCAGCAAATATTTTTATGTATTTTGTTATTGCCTCAAATAGGCCCTAGTAGAATTGATATACCTATAAAATATATGCTTGAGATAAAACCGCGAAAAGCAAACACTGCAGAAAAACTTCGAAAGGCAAGCTCTGCATAAAAAACGATAGAAATTCACCATGTTCTACAAAATTGACTAATATTCTTCACTAAATCAACTTACATAGGTAATCAGCTTCTAATAGTTAGTAATAGAATGATTATACTCACTGGTTTGATAAAATATTCTGTTTATGCCATAGAGCTTCCAACTCTCAGTATCGATGGCTTCTTCACCACCACACAGGGCACGCTTGTAATTTCTAGTGTCTTTAAATGGCGGCCAAAACACTTCCGTTTTCATGGGGGTTAACCACGATTCGTGGACAACAGCCACGCTGTTGTTTCCACTATCGTCAAATTGAATTACCGAATACATGTTGAACAACAACAAAACAATCATAAAAAATATCCTGATTCAATCAAAACCACTTAAAAAAAAACACCATGAGGAACCATGATATTGATGCTCACTTCTTCTCGTGAATCAAACTATCAAACCGGCGAAACTATCACCAGGCACCACGAACGAAACGAAACACAACAATGATGATTCCAAATTCCAATGAGATGACGTGATCGCGTGCTTGGGCGATTAGGCGATGGCCAGCTACCGGGTACAGTGTTGCCAACTATCACAAACACTAACTGGAAAATATAAACAGAGATAAGTCATAAAGTCACCCACAGAACCACTTCATGGGGAAAAGTGAATGACATTGATGTCCTATTCTGTTATTCTTCTGTGAGTTCCGTGTGGCGACGCTATAGAAATTGGGGGTTATCTATCATCTGCATGATATATGATGATAACTATTGATCTATTCCATAGGGAAAAGGAATTCATTATGGCCACAATCCAGTTCTTTTGTGGCCGATGTTAGTGATGTTCATTCCATAACACATTATTGAGGCGAAAAAATATCGTCACTACATATGAATAGGCAGACATTGACAGTTGGAATCACAGCTGACATGATTCGATCGTCACCCCCAAAACAGGCTACTGCTATCCGCTTCATTCTTTCCGATTACCTCTGCCATTTATTATCCATGTCGAATCGATTATCGTTCTGGAATATTTTCAGAATAATAGAACTACGTAAGAATTGTAAAGTCGGCAACATTGTAACGAGGTACAAACGGCTTGGTTCGGTTCGATTCATGTTCGGCTATTTCCGTGCTGACGCGACTTGTGCCGCCAAAACAAGAAATGATGTGATTGGTGGCATTTCGTAGACACCAAATTCAAATAATGAAATGACAACATTTTTCGTTGGAAGAGATTATTTTTTATTTATCATTATTTGAATTGGATGACAGACTTTTTTGATATTTCAGTATGAAACCACTATGAAACAACTTATTTAGGAAAGTGTATTTCACGGGTTCAGAAGACCACATATTGACGTCCATAAGACGTCCGAAAGTTGCTGTCCACGTGACGTCAGAAAAACGACGTCTTTTTGACGTCATGATTTGGTCAACTGACGAACTGGACCAAAAATGACTAAAAATAGCGGTCCTATAGACGTCATTTTCGTCAGTGTGGCTACCTGGGCCAGAGTAAATGTTCATCATTCTCCAAGTTCATTGTAAGTCATCTGCTGATTTAGCTATGAGATGAAAGTAAAAGTTCAGAGTTCAACTAGCAGCTAATTCCTGACACTGACAACGTACTTCATTGGTATACATTTTTATAATCATATGCATCATATTCACTCGATCAAAATCGATTCAGAACTAGTTTTCAATAATATTAGTAGAATAGTAGATAATACCTATCAAAAAGAGTTAGTGTATAGGGAATTCTATTCAATGATTTATAATTATCTAATGAAGAAACTAAACAGGTGGATATTCAATAAATGAAAAGTTGAAAATTGTTAATTTTTCATAGTTTTCATGATGATATAATATAAAATTGATGCCTCAATACTGAGGGTTACAATATGTGGCTACAAATGAAATGAGAAATAATCAGTAATACAGTAGGACAGTAGCTTCATCAGGTGAAATACTGGTACAATGAAATTAGGCTAATGACAAATTATGGCATCAGCTCAATATTCTACGAAGGGGTGTCAGAGTACAGCAAAATACCACTAAATATATTTTTCATTTATTTATTTATTCACGAGAAACCCCATTACAACAAAAATAATTCAAAAGGTAAATATTATTATTACAAGTCTTAAATCTATATAAAAATCTTATGAGAGAGCTCTATGTTTCAAAGTACAGATTTAACCAGTGTTTTGAAACTATTAAAAGACCCATGAAATATGTCGAAACCATTTTCATTGATTAATCTCGATGTTCTCTCAATAGGTGAGTGTTGACCATAATTGGTAGCATGATGAGACATTTTAAATAGGTTAGCATTTCTCAATGTTTTGTTTGGTATATTGAAATTAATCGACTCCAACAACTTCGGACAAACAGCCATTCCATTAATTAATTCAAAAATGAAACAAACATCAGTGGTTTTTCTGCGATATTTTGAACTGCAAATTCATTTCACCATGTATGATAGTATAATCATGGTTTCCAATAACAACATTAAGTTTGAAAGCACAGAATCGTAGGAATTCATTTTGTATACGTTGTAAAGTTTAGTTGTGAATTTGATACAAAGGTGACCAAATGATAGAAGTATAATCTTGGTGACAGACTACCAATCACATATATAACTTCCTAATTGTATGGACAGAAAAAACTTTACAATTTCCAAGAATGTAACCCAACATATTCGACAACTTTCTTGATACCCTATTTATGTCTTCTATAAAAGTCATATCTTCATCAAAAACAACCCCTAAGTCTCTCAGTGACGCAACTTTAAAAAGTTCCTTATTGTTATTATTATAAGAAGAATCATAGTTTTTATTCATTTTATTGCAACTTATGAACGTACATTTTGCAATGTTGAGATTCAGTTTATTTCGATCACACCAATTAATTAAATTGTTTTTTTTTATCGATTGGAGTTAACAGTTGCATACATTTTCAAATCATCGGCGAACAATAGATATTTACTGTGAGTGAAGCAACTACTTATATCATTTACAAATATACTGAATAATAATATGGTGCACAGTGTGAACCTTGCAAAACTCCTGATGACAAATCAATATCATTTGATAGATAAGATCCCACTTCAACTGTCTGTTTGCGACCTTTGAAAAAGCTGCGATTCCATTTTATTAGAATATCATTAAATCCCAAATTCCTTAATTTGAACAATAACAGATTATGGTCTACTCTATCAGACGCCTTACTGAAATCCGTGTTAATTGAGTATAATTGCATTTTCCGTTCTAATGTTGATATAATGTCATTTTGATAAATTAAAAGATTCGTTACTGTGGATCGTTTAGCCATAAAGCCATGTTGATTACTATCAATAATTTCTTTACTTGTAAAACTAATTTGATCATGCACTAAGCTGTCAAGAAGCTTGGGTAATGCAGATTGATTAGAAACTCCTCTATAATTTCCAATGTTTTCTTTCTCACCTGATTTGAAAAAAGGTATCATGAAACTGTGTTTCCAGTAGTCAGGAAAAATACTAGAGTTTAGAGATAAATTGAAAATCAAACCAAGTGGATTTGTAATTGAACATATAAATTGTTTAAGAAAAATATTAGGTATTCCGTCAGGCCCACAAGTAAGCTTCGAAGGAATTATGACTATCTTATTATAAACTGTAGAAAGTGAAAAGTTAGAGCATTTAGTGTCATAGTTTGTAGTATTTGTTACAGCTTCATGGGCAACATTCTGATTATTCACATAAATTGTTGTGACTGATTTTGCGAATCGACACGTTTTTTAATCTCACTGACTTCAACATTCATATAAGAAAGGAAGAAAGGAAATTCAAAGTCTTGTTGAAGTTTCACATTCCATTGTCCTCATGATTTGTAGGGTTATTATTGAAATAATGAAAATTTGAATAAAGCATTATTTATATTATACCTAAACAAACTCACTCCGTAGAACACCGTAGAAAAGTTGGCGATCTGGCTCTATTTTATGTATATTTTCATGGACGATGCTCTTCAGAAATATCAACAATTGTTCCTCCCTTGGCAGTCATCGCGAGATTAACCCGTTGAGTTCAGGCTTCGCACCCTTTCGTGGTCACTTTGGAGACCTGCTAAACATTTCTTTCCAAAGACTCGTTCATCCAACGAACAGCGAGGCTCTGGAACACATTGCCAAGGGAGGTGTTCCCCGAGGCATATAACCTCCAGAAATTCAAGAAAAACACCAATTCCCATTCTCTTGGTGAACATAAAAAAAATATCATGTATTTATTGATAATCAATGGTTTGTAAAGCATGTGACGTAAAATTGTGTAGAGGTGTTCCTAGATTTTTTTATTGCTTGGAGCGCAAGAAAGGAAAACCTTATAATGTTTGAAGAACATCGTGCGTATCTAAGAAGGATAGAGAGAGGAGGTATACTTCGTCTGACTGGTATTGCCAGTGATATAATGATAGTAGATATTTTCACATGTGTGAAAGGTCGTCGATCTTCCTAGGGTGTTCCAATGATGTCAAAGAGTTCATGAGTTTGGCAGGCGAATGGCTCTTCTCTAGATGAAATCAAAGGGCATCAGCTTATGTTTAAGCGCTGAAGCCCATATGTAGGAACAGTATTCTAGAACAGGCCGTATCTATAAAATTATATACATTTCTACAACGAAATTTTAAAATATACTCACTGTCAAAAAAACCGGCCATCCTGAAATATTGTATAAAGATCCCCTAAACATTTTTCTGTTGCTGTTATTGTTATTATCGAATTGGATTTGTTTGTGTTATTGTTTCCTTTAGCCAATTTGTACATACCGTATCATCAACAAGTTGCTTTTCAATCTGTTACCATTCTAGTTTCAGTAAAGAATCTTATTGGTTGCCGTTTTAATTTTCAGAGTTGAGTTGAAAGATGTGATATTGTTCAATTTTCTTAGGTACAGGGATCGAAAAAATATAGCAATATAACATTTTCAGTTCTGCATTTCTTGGTCCAAAAGTTATTAAAGGGTTGTATACCATTAAAAAAAATGTTAACATTCACAGTGGTTACAAGACTTCCATATATTTAGAAAAGCTAGATATATAAATAATGTTCGTGAAACCACCACTTTAGTAGGTACTCCAGCTAATAATATAAGATTCCTTCAATTTGAATGGAATTTTTCATTCACAAGAGTCAAACGCAGCTTTTACTGTGAAAAATACCATTCACTGTGTTCTAGGTAACCCCAAAGCTTTATTCATTTCAACTGAGAGGTATTTATGAAATGAATTGTTAAAGCCCTGCTACAAAAACTGACTCACCCTGAAATTGGCCAAATACGTCGAAGCATTGGCACGACATTCAAAGAATCATGTGTCGCTGAACATATTTTTGAGACTAGTTCCCTCATCACTTCAGATAGTTCTAGACTACTCAGAAATATTGCAAACAATAGAGAATTGAACAGTTTGGAAATCATCTACATTAATCGTAACAGATCATTTAATGAATCAATATTCAGAACCCATCCTTAATTCCAAAGTTGTTGATTCACTGTACCCCGATGTTCATTGAAGCAAAACCGCTTTTTGAACTGTTGAATAACTCGGTTTAGATAGGATAGGATATCGCCAATTTCTTCTTAAATCAATCGCTGATATTTCCGGAGAACACCTCGAAAGGTACAATACAGTCAGATAGCTACTTGGTTGTCGAAATACGTATTTAGGATTCTCTAAATATTATTGTAGTATTTTGGGTATATTTTTCATTTTACAGAACACATCATCACTACAACACGTGAAAGTCAAAAATCCAATATTTTCATTGGATGAATCCACGTTCATTCAACTCCCAAGATTCATATAAGTAAATGTATCAAAATTGCTCCTACTTGAAACTAACTTTTTCAGCATACTTACTTAACTGTACTTTAAATCACTAGTAAATTATTTATTTTCAGACCAGGAAGTGTGGCTTCTGGTAGTATCACAGCATCACCAGGTAATTCTAATGGACCACAGTGGACGTGCCCTTTCTGCACTTATCTCAACAATGCAGATAATGAGAACTGTGAGATGTGCAACTTACCAAGGTCCAATAGACCACATTAAGGTGAATATTCAATAAAAATAGTAACATAATAGCTATTTATATGTCAAGGGAGTAAAGGTATCCATTAATTTCCTTCCGTGAGTGAAGTTTGAGGCATTAAATGCACCAGGGACGAAATGAACCTTTGCTTTTAAACATGTATCCGCGAACGCTTCGTTACCGATCTACAGAACGTTAAAATTTCAAAATCTTTACATTCTAAGTTATTCAGCTACCACAGAATTTAAAAGTGTCACTGTGGAGGCCTCGTCACATAAAGCGTATATGGATAAAACTCCATTTGGTCCATGCATCCGAAGTAATACTGTTTTCCTATTTTTTATTGCACAAATTCTTCGTACATGACACATCATTTGTAGATTTATTTTCAGATGTCACATTCACAAAGTTAGATGAATGTTTATGCAAAAGGGGTGGTGAAACAGGTAACAATCCTTAATGCCGCATGCTTTTCTTTTATTGCATTAGATCCTTTGATGAATACATAACTTTTTCTTGGTTTCCTATTTTCCATCTATCATCAAAAACATAATTTTCCATTTTCGAACAAGTACTTTCGTGATTTTTTTTGTCACAGTAACTGCAATTTTTTTCTTTATTCTCTGATGTTTTCGAAATTCTGTCTGGCTTTCTGATTTGATTAGATTCCTGGCCAAACTTTTCGATTATATACGAAGTGCTTTCATAACAAGCTGAACTGGCTAATTTTCTCAACCAGAAGGCAACATTCTCTAAGTTTACACACCTTTTTTTGGTCCTGATGATTTCTCCCTAGCCTTGCTTCAATATATCTGGAAGTTTGCTCAAGAGCTCCTTCAGGTAGCTTGTAGTTTTTAGAGTTTCAATAATTGATACAATATTGCTGACTTCTGATGAAAATTACGAATAGCACATGTTTAGCTCTTCATATTATTATCTCAATAATGAACTCCGTTCTCCCAATCCGCGTTTCCAGCGTATGTATAACTAGACTAAGTCTAGATTATCGGCAGGAGTAGTAGTAGTAGGAGGAAAGGCTGCTGCCTAGCAAGTATGCCCCCATGGGCCCTTTTTGTCAACCCCTTGGAGTAACATCCTAGCAACTACTGATTTGGCTTCACCTCTCAGATATCTACGTAATTTCATCAGTCCTGTAAAGATTCTTCAGCTGTTTGTAAAATAGTGGACATTCTTGGGGATTTCCATCAAAATAATGGGAAAATCTTTGTCCATCAATTGATGAATTTGACATTCATCTGAACTCCCAACGGAACCTTCTTCTTCTCTATGCTAACGTCAGTTCTTGAAATGAGTTTGTTTCGTGTTTTGTGAAAGCATTGAACCATTTCCTGCAGCAATATCGTCGGTCCTTCTGAAATGATTACTTCCCGAAACATCACATTTCCATCACATCTTCTTTCGGTCTAGACGAGCCTTGTGACTGGCTTCTTTCTTCTAATTCAACAGTTAATGACTGTACATGAATATCAGCTATTGTAGTACCTCGTCTCAGAGCGTTACCGAATTGATTGGGTCATTTGTACTGAGATGACGAAAGTATAGCCTGCTACATTCTGCTGGGTTTTTTTGTTCTCCATTTCGTGATCACTTCGGGGTCACCACAAATGTCTGAATTCTGTATTCGAGCGGTCACAATATCCTTTCTTCAATAACAATCTTACTCGTTTTGGTCTGAATGACCTTTATTCGACAATAATCATCAAAAACATTAACCCATAAACAAATACAAAGTGTATCTGATATCATTTAAACTATATAATAATAAAAAAAATTCATTTTCTGTTTTAACTCTAACACATTTAAAATCACCCATTCGTCATGAAAAAAAGTTCGATCTTATGAACCACTCCTCCCTCCGAAGACAGACTGCTGGTATCAATAAGAATCTAGACGGAAACTATACGTGGCCCAAGAACTTCGAGGAAGCAAAACTCAACATGGATGACAAAACCGAATAACCAGAAGGTGACATTCCTGATGGTAGAACCGTATCCAAAGTTCATGTTGTAGACCATAAAAGCCCGTCTGTTTCTCAACATTCCATCCAAAATAGATCGAACGTTTCCCCAAGACATTCGACACACACTGAAATTTCAAAACCATCCAGAGCCAGTGTTGAACTTCAGCGTATGGAGGTTGTTTTGGAAGCTGCCATGGCCATTATTGGCACTATGTAAATGATTATTTGGAATCCACAGATACGGAGACAGAGGCAATTGAATTGATATCACAAGACATCGAGGTACATCGCAGAGGAGGGTTTGAAATATGCAACTGGGTTTCCAACTCTAAAGATGTATTAGAATCAACTCCTGAAAATTTCCGTTGTAAAAGACAAAAAAACGCATTCTTTCTCAATTGCCATAAGGTCGATCCAGAAGTGATGAATTGTATCAAAATTCCTATCAAGAGGGAGGTTTTGAAACTAACAATGTCTTTTTTTGATCCCTTTGGGATATTAGCACCTATGATAGTGAAGTTCAAAATATTTCCGCAGCAGATCTGGCGTTTAGGCATTGGATGGGACAACACGATAACACCTGAAATGGTTTTCTCTGATCAAAGAGTTGAAGATAATTGAGAGAATCAGCCTTCCAAGATGTTTTGGACCTAAACTTTTCAGAGCTCCTATGTGGAACTTCACGGCTTCTGCGACAGCAGTGAACAAGCTTTCTCTACAGTTGTATATCTACGCTTCGGTACAAACACGTGTGGCACCATTGAAGTCAGTAAGAATACCACGACTCGAACTTCAGGGAGCAGTAATGCTAAGTAGACTAGTGAACACCATTAGGAAAAATCTAGAAGTACAAACAACTGCAATTTATCTGTGGACCGACTCAAAAATGGTACTTCATTGGATCAGGTCTGAAAAAAAAAACAATTCAAATCTTTTGTATCACACCGTGTAAGTGAAATAACTGAATTGACAGATGTATCGAGTTGGCACTGGATTCCCGGGGAACAAAATGTAGCTGATAAGAGTACTAGGGAAACATCGAAAAACTCTAACAGGTGACTGATTGGACCAACCTTCTTGAAGCTTTTGAAGGAAAATTGGCCAAAAAAGATAGAAGAAGACATAGACGAGGAAGAGTTGAAGGTTATAAAGAACGATTATTATTGTTAAAACAATTCGATAGTTATCTACCAGACTTGAAAAGATTCTCCAAATATGGAAAGTTGATTCGATCAACAGCCTGGATGATTCGATTCCTTGACAACTGTAGGGCAGTAAACAAGACGTCTATAGATTTAGAGAATGACGAAATAAAAAATGCTGAAAGAATATGGCTCAAACATATCCAAAATGATTGTTTTCCGGAAGATATCGCAGACTTGAAGAAGGATAAAGTAGTTAACAAAAGTAGCAGACTCTACACTTAACATCCGATGCTCGACGACAAGGGAATCCTCATTCCTCAGGATCCAAGGACGACTCCACAATTCAAAAGACTTAGATTTCTTTCAGAATCACCCTATAATATTGGACCCGAAACACCTCTCCACTAAGTTACTGATCGAAGACTATCACGTGAAATTCTGCCATCAGGGACAAGAGTTGGTGATCAACGTGATACGTCAGAGGTTCTGGATATTGAGGATAAGGAATGCCGTTCGAAATGCCAAAATGTTTCTACTGCAAGAAAATGAAGGAGAAACCGACAATTCCAGAAATGGGCCAATTACCCGAGTATCGACTTAAGAGCTTCGTGAGACCATTTACCGTCACTGGGATGGACTATTTTAGTCCTATTACAGTTACTATAGGCAGACGACACGAAAAACGATACATAGTCCTATTTACGTGCATGAGTGTAAGAGCTATACACTTAGAAATAGCTGCCTCATTAAATACGAACTCTGCTGTGATGGCTATCCGAAGATTTATTAGTAGAAGAGGTTGTCCTCAGCAAGGATGAACTTTTCGTATTCTTCACATCAAAGGGTATTAAGTGGAAATATACAGGCTGATTCACGGTGGATGGCACATTAGACGTTTCTGGTGAACCAGACAGCAGATCATTTTGAAAATTCAATGGAGGGCATATTCCGACATTCTCTAGCCAACTAAAATATTTTCGACAATGCGGTGTTGCCGCTTCTATTAGAAAGCAGTAGCAACTTTGATTTTTCAAATGGAACACTCTGTATTTTATTGCATTTTCAGATTCTCCCTGAAGAGCTGATTTCATCGATGTATCATACTTGGGGTCTAGCGGGAATGATTACAGAGATATAGGGTCTGAAAAATCGACATTTTTCAACTTTAGGAATTTTTTGTGTCGAAACTATTCATCATTGGTCGAAACGGCTTACATGTCCCTATCTCAACTTTTGATTAACTATCTACTGATATTTAATTGGGACATATACCGGGTGATCAAGATTCTGAATTCTGCACCACCCTGTATTTGTTTCAATTAAATGTCAGTAGATAATTGATCAAAAGTTGAGATAGGGACATGTGAGCCGTTTTGACCAATAATGAATAGTTTCGACAAAAAAAAATCCTAAAGTTGAAAAATGTCGATTTTTCACACCCTATATCTCTGTAATCATTTCCGCTAGACCCCAAGTGTGATACATCGATAAAATCAGCTCTTCAAGGAGAATCTAAAAATGCAATAAAATACAGAGTGTTCCATTTGAAAAATCATAGTTGCTACTGCTTTCTAATAGAAGCGGCAACACCGCATTGTCGAAAATATTTTAGTTGGCTAGAGAATGTCCGAATATGCCCTCCATTAAATTTTCAAAATGATCCGTTGTCTGGTTCACCAGAAACGTCTAATGTGCCATCCACCGTGAATCAGCCTGTATACCGGCAGCTAGTCCACATATGGGGGGTAGCTGGAAACGTCTAGTGAAATCTGTGAAAACAGTTCTGTGCAAGTTACTCTTTGAGAAAAAAGTCCCAAAGAAGAAGTCCTACAGACACTAGTTATAGAAACTGAAAACATGGTGAATAGCAGACCTCTGACCCATGTCTCTGCTGA